GATTTTTGGCAATTTTGAGATGTCCCCTCGTTGCCATGGTAACAGGAAATTTAAGACTGAGCATGTCGTTACAAAGGCAATGGTCCAGTCAACATTTGTGCCAAGTTTGATTAGTATTGAAGCATTTTTCATAGTTTCATAGCAGTTTGAACTTGTAAGAGGAGGCTTTTCAGTTAAAATGGCCATTTTTCACGATATGCTCATGGGGGAAAGGGTTAATATCATTGGTGTTCATATTATTGATATTTATAATCATTCTTCCCCCTCATAATTTAATAATTTTGTTGTTTCTACTTCTTAATTGTTATCAAGTTCTTTTACTTTATTTAACTTCCTTTACAACTTCTTTTTACAATTATTACCATTAAATAATTTTCTTGTTGATCAATTCAGTACAAGTATTGTTTACATTAATACTATTGGTTATTTTTTTCAGATTTACTTTAAATATATTAGTTACTTTTTTCCATTATGATACTATGTAGGCTTTTTTGACAACTTTCACTATGCTTCCTTTTTGATTTGATTCTTACTCAGTTGTGTTGACTTATAAAAAGCTATTGAAAGGCCTTGAAACTTAAACAAGAGGGCCATGATGGCCCTAGATCGCTTACCTGACCCATCAAACTCATCCAAACAATTACCTAGACAAGCATTCTGACCAAGTCTCATGACAGGTGAGTCAAAAATGTGACCACTACAGTGTTAACAAAGATTATCCATATTTGAGCAGTGAGACCTAGTTTTTTACCCAAGTGACCCATATTCAAACTTGACCTCGAAATCATCAAAACAAACTTTCAGACCAATTTCCAGGATACTTGGATCAAAACAGTAGCAACTAGAGTGTTAACAAGATTTTTCTATTTTTAGCTCCGGTGACTTAGTTTCACATGCGATTTCGAACTCATCCGAGCAATTACCTAGACAAGCATCCTGACCAAGTTTGATGATAATTGAGTCGAAAATGTGACCACTAGAATGTTAACAAGGTTTTTCAATATTTGGGCGGTGTGACCTAGTCTTTCATCCAAGATGACCCATATTTGAACTTGACTTAGAAATCATCAAAACAAACTTTCAGACCAATTTACAGGATATTTGGATCAAAACAGTAGCCACTAGAGTGTTAACAAGATTTTTCTATTTTAAGCTCCTGTGACTTAGTTTTTCATCCGAGATGACAAATGTTCGAACTCATCCGAGCTATCAAATAGATAAGCATCCTGACCAAGTTTGATAATGATTGAGGCAAAAACGTGACCGCTGGAGTGTTAACAAGGTTTTTCTATTTTTAGCTCCGGTGACCTAGTTTTTCATCTGAGATGACCCATGTTCGAACTCATGCAAGCTATCACCTAGACAAGCATCCTGACCAAGTTTGATGACGATTGATGCAAAATGTGACTGCTAGTGTGTTAACAAAGTTTTTCTATTTTTATTCAGGTGACCTAGTTTTTCATCTGAGATGACCCATGTTCGAACTCATCCAAGCTATCACCTAGACAAGCATCCTGACCAAGTTTGATGATGATTGATGCAAAAATGTGACCGCTAGAGTGTTAACAAGGTTTTTCTATTTTTAGCTCCGGTGACCTACTTTTTCATCCGAAATGACCCATGTTCAAACTCATCCGAGCTATCACCTAGACAAACATCCTGACCAAGTTTGATGATGATTGAGGCAAAAATGTGACCTCTAGAGTGTTAACAAGGTTTTTCTATTTTTAGCTCTTGTGACCTAGTTTTTCATCCGAGATAAACCATGTTCGAACTCATCCGAGCTATCAACTAGATAAGCATTCCTGACCAAGTTTGATGATGATTGAGGCAAAAATGCGACCGCTAGAGTGTTAACAACAAAATGTGAACGGACGGACGGACGACGGACAATCATCGATCCTAAAAGCTAAAAAAACAAACTTGTGAGAGGTCTTGTAACTATTGAGAGGTCTTGTAACTATTGAGAGGCCTTGCAATTATTGAGAGGCCTTACAACTTTGTAACTTTTGAGAGGTGTTGTAATTATTTGGAGACCTTGTTCATGTATTTGGATTCCTAGCAACTTAAGTGAAAAGTCTTTTAATTTTTGAGAGGATTAATAGAGGCTTTGTAACTATTTGGAGACCTTATAAATATTGAGAGGTTTTGTAACTATTTGCAGACCTTATAAATATTGAGAGGTTTTGTAACTATTTGCAGACCTTATAAATATTGAGAGGTTTTGTAACTATTTGGAGACCTTATAAATATTGAGAGGTTTTGTAACTATTTGGAGACCTAATAATTATTGAGAGGTTTTGTAACTATTTGCAGACCTTATAAATATTGAGAGGTTTTGTAACTATTTGCAGACCTTATAAATATTGAGAGGTTTTGTAACTATTTGCAGACCTTATAAATATTGAGAGGTTTTGTAACTATTTGCAGACCTTATAAATTTTGAGAGGTTTTGTAACTATTTGCAGACCTTATAAATATTGAGAGGTTTTGTAACTATTTGCAGACCTTATAAATTTTGAGAGGTTTTGTAACTATTTGCAGACCTTGTATCTATAAGCTAATCATGACAACATTTTTATTTGCCAGATAATTTTGACATATGATTACAGAATAAAATACTCAATAAAATGGATCACAGAAATTATTCTTTTTTTTGCATCTTCTGCGTACAATAGACAGGAAGTCAATGTAAGTACATGGTCTGTGTATATTAATATATTTACATACTAAGGTTTCAAGCTGATTATTAATCAATTTTAGGTAATCACTTTACACAGCAAAAGATGTTGCATCAAAATTAATGTCATTATACAGCAATAAAAAATATTAAAAAAATTGTTTTCAGAGGTTTATCATTAGGAATTAGGCCACAAAAACCCTAAAACATGTAACTATAAAACTCTAATTGCTATTTGTTACCACAGTCAGAACTTTAATCATTGGTAAGGGGGCTTGTGTGGCTTAGTGGCCGGGAACGTGCAACTGAGTAGAACCATCTAAATTCCGCAAGCTAGCTGGATAGCTTCAACGTTCCATTTTTATGTTAATAAACACTTCAAACACTTCATATCTTATTACCTGACACACATATCTTTACCATTGGTTCATATTGCTACAGCAAACAGTCAATCTATTATTTCTCCACGGTAAATGACGTGGATTCATTTAATTTTGTGGACATGAAATTCCGTGGTTATGTCACAAAAGGCATTTTTCGTGGGTTCTTAATTTTGTGGATAGTCTCTTTGTGCAAAAAATTAAATGCAAATAGTGTAATGCAGAATTATCTTACAGCAGAAATAATGAAATTTCATTGTACTTTAAAATTGTGTACTAATCTGTCTTCGAAAAACCACAAAATATATAGTGCACATCGAATTACAAGAATTTAGCAGTATATAAATTATTTCATGTTACCACAGCAACTGAAAGTCATTTACCACTTACTATTTCCCCATGTTAACACTGCAAACAATAATGTTAACCACAGCAAATTGTTTTATTGTTTAAATAAAAAATGTAGCCACCACAGCAGACAATTCTTTTTTTTCATGTGATATAAAACAAATCAACCAGTAACCAGTGCAATGGATAGTAAAAACAATATCTACTTACACGCCAGTCAGCATACAGTGTATCATAACCAGTGTTATCAACACTCTAAATTCATATCAAAGTATGGTTATGATTATGACCATCACTCTAAATTCTAGCAAAGAGTTCATGACTCTAAATTCATATCAAAGTATGGTTATGATTGTGACCATCACTCTAAATTCTAGCAAAGAGTTCATGACTCTAAATTCATATGAAAGTATGGTTATGATTGTGACCATCACTCTAAATTCTACTCAAGAGTTCATGACTCTAAATTCATATCAAAGTATGGTTATGATTGTGACCATCACTCTAAATTCTACTCAAGAGTTCATGACTCTAAATTCATATCAAAGTATGGTTATGATTTTGACCATCACTCTAAATTGTACTCAAGAGGTCATGACTCTGAATTCATATGAAAGTATCATAACCAAAATGATTGACACTCTTAATTTTTGAAGACCAGGATTTAATCATAAAAGCCTGTGGTACATTTTTAAACTCTATTTCTACTAAGCAGATTTGCAAGGTACATTTCCAAACTGGACATTAAATATTAGTCACACGCTAGGGGAATGGTTATGGAATATTTTTCATTCATGACTCAAGTCATTACCCCATGCAGAGACCACATTGGTAAATAATATGATGTCAACGCACTTGAAAATGTCTTCTAATTATCACCTATATGCCAAAACCATCATGACAAATACATGACTTGATGTCAGGAATTCGTCAATGATATTGACAAATTAATTATGGCTTGATATAACATAAATAAGGACAGGCTTTACAGAAAAATGCAACCACTTCTACTGTCCCCATGCAACTCATCATTCCCTGCTTGAAAACCTTTTTTATTTATTTTTTTTTGTAAAAGAGACAAATAGTTCTTACATCAGTTCATGTAACACTTCTTTTTAACAACAATGTACAAAAAAGGCAGGTTACTTAATAGAGCTGTCATTGATTATGGGCAAAGATCATTGACGATACATTGATATCGGATGCAAAATATCGGTTATACAACGATATAATTATAGATATTTTCTTGTACATAATTCACTTTCATACCTGTTTAAATGATTTTAGTAAAAAAAATGTTGTACAATGTTGTATCCTGTTTATAAATGTCCTTTTTGCATGATTTTCTTCTGACCATTTTTTGTCGTCACTGCTACGAAATGTGTCCATTATGTACAACAGCTTAGTCCTAGACATGGCCACGTGCTTTTGTATATTTTGTGTGTGTATTTTCATGATAGACATTTAAATAATTAGCAAAGTTATCAAATGTGTATCAATTATTTTCTCAACAGAAAAATATCAACCTTACATCAATATCGTCTCTATCGATGACAGCTCTAGGGTAACTATTACAATGAAATTATTCTTACATTTTCTCTCTGCCTCCTTCTCTCTTCATCCTGTTTCCGTTTCTCCAAAGTTTTCATCGGATCTTTCCCCTGCTTCTTCTTAAACCATGTATTCCAAGTCCCGCTCTCATTCAGGTCAAGGTCATTGTCTTCACTTGCCACCTGTAACCATAGGTTAATTATTTAAATATAAGTTTGCTACACCTTAAAGGAATAAGAATGGATGGATTGATGTCTGTCTTATATAAATATTCATCATTTAAAAAGAGGAACCATGACAGTTTCCCTATTGACATCAACCCTATAAGAGAGAAATTCGTGTTTAAAGACACTATTTTTTACTTGAGAAATAAGTTCATGGGCGCCGCCATTTTGGCGTTCTGTCATTCTCGCGAGACAGACGAGACCGAGATTGTGACGTGTAATACCCACTTCCGGTATAGTTGTACACGCTGGTACAACTGAAATATATCTTGATGAAGAACTTATTAATTTAATTGCGTACATTATATATTATTTATGAAAACATCATATGGAACTGAATTGCTTTAATTAATTAATTGAAGACGCTGCGACATTAATTATCATTTGCCCGATACGATACTCAAGCTTGCTGATGATCCCACCACATGATTTAAGCAATGACTGCTTAATTTTCAAAGATAAACCATCAATTTACTTTGGGTACTATGAGATACTTCTTCAAATTGACGATATATCCTTGTATTTTGTACTTAATTTTCGCTAGACAAGCTGTCCAAATAGGTTACATCGCCGGTCATATATCTTTTTTCAAGTAAAATATCAACTAAATCAAATATGCTGAGGACGCGATTTTCCGCCATTGACGCTTAAAATGAGAAAGGCGCAGGAAAATCGGCAGCCAGACTTATATCATATGAAAACAAAACTGTCCGTAAAGTTATTTAGGCACCCAGTCAAAACTGGTACCAACAGCAACAGGTTGCCCATTCCCCTATAATTACGCATATTCTCGGGTTTATCCAGTTCCCCCAAAGCTTTTTTCCACGTTATCTACTTACCAAATTCCTTTCCCCGACAGATACGCATTTCTTCTACCGTAAATTTAATCCAATAAAACAAAAAATCATAAATCTACTTAATATTTAAAATGATTATTGGGAACTGAAAAAAATGTGTTGCTATTTTATGACGTGCTGTAATTTACTACAGTACAATTTGACAGGTGTGGAACCGAATTCCCCCTAAGGTCATTCAGTTCACTGATGAAGCGTAAAAAAATAGATGTCTATTTCGTCATTAGAATATTTGACAAGGGTGATTAACCAATTAGGGCAACATTGTGCATGATCAAAAGGTCTGTCGGCACAGAGGCATACAAGGAGCAATAAAAATCGTCAGTACACAGTGTGACAGGAGCATTTGGTGCAAATTAGGAACAATTAAAATGGACAATGCGCAGTATTAGACATAAGTAGTAAGAACCAGCAATTGTGTGAATAAATTATGCAAATTAGATTTTTGAGCAGCCAATAAAAATGATTTGCCTGCAGTTAATATTAGGCTACGATTACGATGCGCAGCATCATACGTTGACAGACATGTTAACAATTTACCTTTCAAAACAGTTGCTGATATTTTTGAAATGTGTACATCAATTATAGACAATTATAGACAATTGTAGACAATACAGTGCGTCCTGGCTAGTCGTTCGTGACTCACGTACGGCTAGAACTTTTGGCTAGCCGTACGTTTCTTTATTTTTTATTATTATTATTTTTTTTTTTGATATTGTTACGTATTTTGAACCATAAAAAATCTCCTCTACACCTCCTGTGAAAATTAAATTGTCTGATCAATACTTTATTATATTAATATTTCCTTACGATTCAACTAGATTTATCATGAATCTAAAAGATGTGGGGAAATGACATCACGCGCACCTGTTTTTATACGGCCAATACACAAACATGGCCGCGCTTACCGATTTGTAGAAATCGGTGATTTAGCGATTTAAATTTTGTTATCATTCGTTTAATATTATTATTTGGCGGCAGAAAATTTGCAGACTTATTATTTATAGTATTCTTTTTCTGAAATCAAGTTTTTATTTTAACCTTGTCTTTCCCTTTAACTTTGTGACACTGTGAAGTGAACAAGCACAATTTTGACTTTGGAACAGTTCACTCAAAGTTTTAGGGATTTTTTTTTTATATAAGTTTGCTGCTCCTTAAATTTTGTTACTCTGTGTAGTGAACTAGTACAATTTTGATTTTGGAACAGTTCATTAGGTTTAAGGGATTTTTATCAGAAAATACGAAAATTGATCTACCAACTGTATAGAGTCTGGTACGACTGTGAAGATGAGCAGACTGGTCCGGCTCTATTATTAGTGACAAAGGCTTATCCCTTTAGTTCAAGAGTAAGGCTTTACACCTATGACACTTTACTGTTGTTGCTGAGGGGAGTAGTGGCTTGGTGGTTGAAGTGTCTACCTCTCAAATCAGAGATTGTTGGTCCGAACTTAGTTTAGTTTATACTAATTTATTTTAATTTGATTGTGTTGCAATCAACAAACTTATTGAAACAATCCCAGATCCGTTTCTGGAACCAACAAGTACTAAGCAATGGGTGTAAAGTTTCTTGCTCACAGAAACAACGGCTTGCCTTAGTCCAGGCTTGGTTTGGGGACATGACTATATTTCTTCATATAACATGAATCTAAGAACCTCAAATAACATTTTTCATTTCTGTCATGACACTGTTATAACTTAATTGTAATATTTTCCAGTTAAATCCATCAATACAGTACAAGGTCCTATGGCATGTTTCCAGCTTTAACAGATGAAAGGAAGACCTTAAGTGCCTGTCCGAACATTATTTCGGTAACGAGCATCTGAGAAAAGCTGCCAACCTTAAAGTCATAAGATAGTTAAATAGCTTCCTTACATGAAAATTCATTTAGTACCTGCAGGGGATCTGAACCCACAGAGGTGGGGGATTTGACAGCCGCAGTGAATTTAATTGGATTAACAAGAGCACCAAATGCTGTGTTAAGGAACTATCAATAAACAATTTTCACTAAAAATAAAAAAATATATAAATATTATTTTTTATTTCATTTATTTTAAAAGGGGCATAACTCCAAAAATATTGCTTTCATAGTTATGCCCCTTGTCTCACAACGATAAGCAAATATTCCACATTTAGAGCTGATAACTGAATAATAGGCTACATGTAAGTTTTTGTAGTCATCAATGATGATAACAATGCAGCCATCATTAAAAGCTTCACATTTTCATCAAAATGGACAGATTAATAAAGTCCCTCACCTTATGAATAAGGACCTCAGTGCTGCCAGCCTCATCTTCATCATTCATGCTTAATCCTGAATAAAAATACAAACAATATCTTATTATGTGGCTTACAACAATGTATAATTAATTTACTTTTAACTCATTATATAATATATAAAATACAGAAAAAAATATCTTTAAAGACGTTTTCGCTTAAAATATTTCTGTCATCATATTCTAACAACATGCCAAGTCTTAAAGAAATTCTACTGAACAGTTTTTATTCTGCCCGTATGTCCATATGAAAACTCCCAGACGCATCCTGCCCTAACAGTGATGTCAAAGAAATAAGTATAAAGGAATTCATTTTAGCAAATAAAGTCAAATTCATTACAACCGGTTTTTGACTTAACAGACCAATATTGGAACAAGAACATAGTCCACTTCCAAAACAATACACATGTATTATATATAAGTTTACATATTTTAAATCTTATATGTTTGATAAATCAAATGGACTTGATTCACTAAAAGGTAAACTGTGCAACAAAATATGTAAAAAACAAATGGTAAAATTACAACTTTATAAAATTTTTAGCAAGATTCTAAATTGTTTGGACTTTTGGATTTTGTTGGACTTTAAATCAAACAGACACAAACATTTAATTTTAATAATTTCTGGGAACTGATCTTAATCATTGATTATAATAATAATACACGGTACAAAACTGAGAGCAACTTTTATCACATATATGACAAAGACAAGGATTGGAACCCATCCCTCTGTGACTCAATTTATAAAGGATAAGTTTATTATTAACACTTTGCTATCAGTGGTACAATACTGTGAATTCACTTTTGTGTGCATAAAATTTCATGTTATTGTCATACAGAACATTTTTTTGCGGGTTCTTTAATTTGTGGACAGTCTATTTTTTTCAAAAGGTAAATTGTAAATAATGTGGGGCAAAATAGTCTTACAGTAGACAAAATGAAATTTCGTTGCATCTTAAATTCATGAATTGACCTACCCTTGAAAACCACGAAAATTAGTGCCAAACGAATAATAATAATTTTGCAGTAATCTATTTCTTGAATTATCAACAATACCTTAAGATAATCATCTATACTGTTTTGTACATAGTTCTCAAATACTTTTCAGATACTATCAACATCAAAATTTAAAAATTACACAAAAAAATAAAACAAAAAAACATTACCGTGAAGAGATGAATGTAGATCACTATCCGACAGATGGGTCCCGCTACCTCCAGAACTCATCTTCTTCTTTATGGAACGACGTTTAACTCTCGTCCCTGGTTGTAACTCGTCTCCCGTTCCCGCACTATCCTCCGAAGGCGAATTACTTCTTCCTACGATAAAATCATTTGAGAATAAAGACTTGATCATAAACTAGATTCAGCGTTTATTATAACCAACTCGTAGTCTTGTCTTCACAATGATTTCATTCATTAGCACACGGCGAACACCAAACGTCATACTTGGCCAATAGTTCAGCCACTATGTTTTAGTGCTAATCAAATGTATCACCAGTCTATGTGCTTTATGTCTGCTTTCATTTTTGTCCTTCCTTTTTTTCAATTATGTAACTTTTTTATTTTCTTTAAAATTCTTAACCATGAACTTACTGGGACCTAAAAAGTCACTACCCATTGCCATCAGTGAAAAATTAGACCAGACTGTACATGTGTGCAATATGACACGGCTCTATACTGTTGGTATGTTCTAAAATTCAAATTTTCTTAAACTTTGAATGAATTTGTTTTTGGTTTTGTTTGTTTTTTTTTCTTCAAAATTTAAAGCCTGCCAAAGGCATTACATAAAATCCTCAAGTTTTGGACGGAAATATGTTAACTAGCTGGCAGATTATTTCTTATCGTTTTTTTATATACATATATTTTTTTCATCAACTTTATAATTTTAACTGGAACTGTATAAGAATATTCACTTTGTTTATAGTGACACGACTATGACATCACCAAAATCTGAACAGTATGCATAACCCTACAGTCTAACATGACTTCTGTAAGCTCTTTAATTTTATTAAAATTTTCAATATAACTGGGAAAAAACAGGAGTACAGCTTCACATGCTGATCAACATTCCTGTAAAGTTTGTTGATTCTAGCTCAAAAGCTACATGTGCCACAACAAGGGAACATACGCACACACATAGGCACAGATGGACAGACAAGGGCAAATCTAAATACATCCCCCTTTCCCCTACAGTGGGGGCATAAAAATGGACTGTTTCAAAGACATATATGAGAAATTCCACAAATTCTGTAGGTTAAGGATTTAATATTCTATAAAACTACCTCTAAGACTGGGTTCAAACCTTCCTCTAAGACTGGGTTCAAACCTACCTCTAAGAGTGGGTTCAAACCTACCCTTTAGACTGGGTTAAAACAAACCTCTTAGACTGGGTTCAAACCTACCTCTAAGACTGGGTTCAAACCTACCTCTAAGACTGGGTTCAAACCTACCTCTAAGACTGGGTTCAAACCTACCTCTAAGACTGGGTTCAAACCTACCTATAAGACTGGATTCAAACCTACCTCTAAGACTGGGTTCAAACTTACCTCGACCAGTATGTTCTAAAGGCTGTTCTCCGAGTTGATGTGGATGTTCTATATTTATCTGGGTTATATACGGCCCTTCCTGGTTCCGGTGTTTATGCTTCTTTTTGTGAGGCGTTGGTTTCCGGTTCACCTTTGAGTAAATGTCTTTATTTTTGTCGCGTTCAAGGGAACTGAACTCTGACTCTTCCGAATCTGTACCTGTAGATCACAAATATATTTACGTCAAAAGTTGCAACAATATACAACAATATTGTTAAGGAATTCGTGACTTACAGTTTTATTTCACATTGACAATGGTACGACATATGCAGAGTTTTGTACAGATAGTCTTTATTCTTTATTTATACATTAACATATCCTAGTCTTTTTTTGTTGTTGTATAAATTTTTAATATTCTGTTAACATTTAATAGGTGGTTACTGAATTTCTCCACCTTTTATAAATTTTCCTTAATATACATATCTCAGATTAGCATATTAGAAGACGCTTGTCAAGCATTCTTATATTATGTTACTCTGCAAGAAGTCAAGAAGAATTCTAATAACAGTAAGCATTATCCTGCAGTTATTAAAATTTAAGAGATCCGATGGTTTACCTTTCTCATTTTTCCGTGACGTAGATTTGATTCGGTGAATTTTTCCTTGTGGTAAAGCATCATCAACGAGGGCATAATCACTGTCTGGTATCAAGGCATCCTGAAACATAAAGTCATATTCAATGAAACAAAACCAATATTAATCTGCTTTATTTGGTACCATTTGTATTAATCATATTCCAAGAGACAAAACCATATTAATCTGCTTTTGGTATTTGGTACAATTTGTAGAAAGCAAGTCTTCAAGATATATTAAGCCACGCCTTTAATATCAAATATCGTTATTGTTACTGTATAATTATATGTTTACTTGATTTTTGGGAGTTTCTGAGTATATACTTTGATGCAACACATATGATAAAATATATAAACCATCCTTCGAGCCTTGTTTAGTTTGTGTGCTAGTAAGCCATCCGAATATAAAATGTAAATGTTACACCATTCTGTACCAGTTAAATAGTATGTCAGTCATTTACTGGTTGATAATTGCTTAGACAGATGGTTTCTGAATTTTGTACCAGTACTGACCTGTTTATTTCTTTATAATGTTGTCAAATACAATCAAATAAGAAAGTAAATTTTAGGAGATCCTGTCATAGCAAAAATCACCACTTGGGAATTTATATGAGGAACTGACAAATCTAAGATCCAAAACATAACACTAATGGTCTCTATGAAATGGATTGGATGGCAAACATGAGAGCCATCCTTTCATGCTTGTAGATACCCTAATTATAATGTAGAATATTTTTTTACTAAATTTGAAATAACTAGATCTATGAAAAAAAGTTTAATCTACATAGACATTTCAAAACCATGAAACAAATCGGATTTCTCTTTCCAATGCAACAATACATGTTTGAGTTAATTCAACAATAACTTGACCCTGCACTTGTTTCTAACTCAAGTATTTTTTAAAATTTCACTGAGGACCATATTTCATTCAAATCCATGGCAGAGTACTGGGTCTGTGAAACAATGATCTTGAAGACATGAATGAAGTTTCAAGTAAATACCATTAGTAACATTGAAGAATAATGTTAGTACACATCAATCTTTAAATAGTAATTTGGTAAGTTATGGGTCATAAATAGAAACCCTTATGACGATCCTAAAACTTGAATAAAAATAAAATTATACCTTCAGTAGCTTTTGTAATTTAAGTAGTAATTTATGTCTGATGTTTAACACGCAAAAAAACACTAAAAGAAAAGCCACTTGAACAATGAACTTACCTTGACAGTTCCGTAAACTTCTGAGATTTCAATTTTCTCCGGTAATGCGAGGGGAGCAGTCACACGTCCGCCCCTAGTGCTTCCAGGTCGCTGCGGCAATGCATACTGCGCAAATAATGAGGACTACAATAACAACAGAGTGGGTTAAGGTTAGTGTGAGTGGTTAGGTAAAGCACTTCAAAATTATTAGAAACAGAAGATTATAATAAATTATGAAAACCTAAGTATTTTCCTCAACTTTCACCTTTGTTTCCTTAATTACCATTGTTTTTCTTATGCTTAAGTGTTTGTTGTATACTTGGATTTCACCTTTCATTATCATTCAGTTTCAAAGCATATTAACCGATTCTACCTAAGAGGTCAATGTGACCTTGACCTTTGACCCCTTGACCTCAAAATCAATAGGGGTCATCTACTGATCATGACCAATCACCATATCAAGTTTGAAGTCCCTAGGCCTAAGGGTTCTTTCGTTATTGATCGGAAACCGTTTTTACCTACAAAGTCAATTTGACCTTGACCTTTGACCCCTTAACCCCAAAATCAATAGGGGTCATCTGCTGGTCATGACCAATCACCATACCAAGTTTGAAGTTCCTAGGCCTAAGGGTTCTTTAGTTTTTGATCGGAAATCGTTTTTACCTACAAGGTCAATGTGACCTTGACCTTTGACCCCTTAACCCCAAAATCAATAGGGGTCATATGCTGGTCATGAACAATCACCATACCAAGTTTGAAGTTCCTAGGCCTAAGGGTTCTTTTGTTATTGATCAGAAATCGTTTTTACCCAAGAGGTCAATGTGACCTTGACCTTTGACCCCTTGACCCCAAAATCAATAGGGATCATCTACTGATCATGACCAATCACCATATCAAGTTTGAAGTTCCTAGGCCTTAAGGTTCTTTAGTTATTGATCGGAAACCGTTTTTGCTTCCAAGGTCAATGTGACCTTGACCTTTGACCCCTTGACCCAGAATCAATAGGGATCATCTACTGATCATGACCAATCACCATATCAAGTTTGAAGTTCCTGGGCCTTAAGGTTCTTTAGTTATTAATCGGAAACCGTTTTTGCTTACAAGGTCAATGTGACCTTGACCTTTGACCCCTTGACCCCAAAATCAATAGGGGTCATCTACTGGTCATGACCAATCACCATACCAAGTTTGAAGTTCCTAGGCCTAAGGGTTCTTTAGTTATCACTCGGAAACCATTTGGTCTACGGACCGACGGACCAACGGACCGACAAGTGCAAAGCAATATACCCCCTTTTCTTCGAAATGGGGGCATAATAAAAAGATTTTTCTAATCAGTTGTTTTTTCTTCTTTTTTGTTCAATTTAAAAATTGTGCCTAGCTAAGAGGATGAGGGGCAAGCAGTTTGAAGTCAACAACCTTAACTACTCGGCTACAGACCCCCCTAGAAGTAAGTCAAATGAAACTCAGAGCTGAGGAAAATACTTCATATTATGAATAAAAGAAGTCAGAAATCAATGATAATATAGTAATGTACAAACATGAAAAGAAATTTAAGGAATAGGAAATCTCATGATTCTATTTTACTGGTTAATCTCTTTATAAATAAGATAAAACATTTGAAAATTATTCTCAAGTGTTACATATTAATCTCCCAAGTAATGTAATGAGTAAGACACACAAGAGACATTATTCCCTCACATAACTGGTTAATACCATAAATTATTATTAAATATGTAATGAATGTTGAAACATCCTTTCTATAAATTTATAATTATGAATAAGGCATATGAGGGATAATACCCTAATATAAGATGTTTATCTCCTTATAATGTAATGAATAAGACTTATGAGGAATAATGCCCTTATATAAGATGTTTATCTTCTCATAATGCAATGAATGTGACACAAGAGGAATAATAACCTCATATTTCTCCTCAAAATGTAATGAATAAGACATGAGGAATAATGCCCTCATATAAGATGTTTATCTCCTTATAATGTAATGAATAAGACATGAGGAATAATGCCCTCATTTAAGATGTTTATCTCCATAGAAATGTAATGAATAAGGCACTTGAGGAATAATGAATGCTTCTTAATTTTACTAGAAACATAATGAATAAGATGAATGATGAATAATGTCAGCATATATCATTACTGGTTAATTTTAGAAGAAATGTAATTAATAACACAAGAGAGGCATATTTGATTATGGATCACTGGTTAATCTTACAGAAATACAATCAATAAGACATTTAGAGAAAATAATGTCAGCTGTTCTCAAGTCACTTGTTAATCTCGTTATAACATTTTAAGGATTAAGAAAAGTGAAACATAATGTCTCAAATAAATTGTTAATCTCGGAACAAGATGTTAGCAAGTAAGAATTTCAAAAGTAGCTTAGCTTTTATATTTTCTGAAACTCATGTGTTAAAGAGCTGGATTAATACAAAGTGTACAAAACAGCCATTAAACTAGTATAATACAAGACATTTTATAATCTTAATATATATATAACATATTATGTAAACTTTCAGCAACTTCTGTTTTATTTGCTTTTGTTCATTTGTTTGTTCGTTTGATTGGGCTTTACGTCACACGTGACACAGTTTACAATGTAGGTCATATGGCGATGTTCCAGCTTTACTGGTGGACTGCAAGGATAACCTGAACAACCAAGCAGTCTGGCTCTAGTATAACTATTGGCGGAGTAACTTTAAAAACTTCCATCCTGCTATTCCTAAAATAGATAATGGACTGTTCCAAAAATAGAAACAAGGCAAGTCCATTACACAGATTCAGCAGATTAAAAAATTAAATGAATATTCATGCAGTTACCTTATTTTTGGCACTTGATTGTTGGGACACGAACGATGACCTTTCGTACAAATTGTTGTGAGACCAAACCACCTCCTCGTCGTCATCGTGACCAGCATGCTCCGTATTGTCATACGGTGATTCTAAAAATAACCATGGTAAGTATCAACACAAAGTCCGACAAAGGTACAGTTATAGCAATATACAAAATGTTAAATGTATGTTAGATGTGAAATCAACTCACAGTGCCGGTTATTAAAATAAAAATTTTGTTTTATCATCAAAACTGGAAACAAAATATCTAAGTAAATAACAAGAGGTTTCATTACAGCTGTGTTTCAAGTAACACTGCCATTGAAAATATATACCGACTTAATAACATCAATGAAAGAGGAATTAATAGATTTTTGTGGAAGATCTCATTTCAGGAAATCAATTTCATTAACCTGGAAGTTCATATACATCTGTTTCAAGTAATCTAAAGCCATATGAAACTTATGTTACTTAATGTTTATGTAATTATAAAAATGAGCCGCTTCATGACAAAACCAACATAGTGCATTTGCTACCAGCATGGATCCAGACCAGCCTGCGCATCCGCCCAGTCTGATCAGGATCCATGCTGTTCGCTATAAGTTTCTCTACTTGTAATAGGGTTGGTCAGCGAACAGCATGAATCCTGATCAGACTAGGCGGATGCGCAGGCTGGTCTGGATCCATGCTGGTCGTAAATGCACTATGTTGGTTTTGTTGTGACGCGGGTCAAATATGTATTTGATTCATTCTTGAATTTGGGAACATTACAATGTATAAGCACTTGTAATTATGGTTATTTATTTTACCTGTTCTGGCCTAATTAACTTCAGAATATGTCATTCAATATGTATACATTTGAACTATTTTATATAAATATACACTTTAGTAATTCTGACTAAATCTTTTACTGGTTATTTATAATATCAACAAAAGTAAAAAAGTAAACTTTTAATGCCATCTGATGGCTATGTTGTAAAAATATTTCATTGAGAAAAATAATTATTGTACTGTAGCTTAAATAGAAATTACATAGACATTATGAAAGTAATTACAGTTGTCATGAAAATCAAATAATCTTTTAAAAGACAATATATATTTTACATCAATTCTTTACAACATACAGTATTTTATGTTGTTGTTGTTGTTGTTACAAGAAGATAATGTAAGCTAAATTAGCATCTATAAGCTGTACTATATTAAACATTTACAATACAATACTGTGAATTCATTAAATATTGTGGGCATCAAATTTCGTGGTTTTGTCACAAAGAACATTTTTTTGGGGGTTCTTAATTTTGTGGATTGTTTATTTTTGCCAAAATATTTTTGTAAAAGTTATTTTTGTTATGGAATATTTATGCTGATAATCCTTGAGATTGCTGACATAAAATAATAAATAAGTAATTTTACAGCAAACGAAATGAAATTTTGTTGGATCATAAATTTGTGGATTGACATATCCACAGTAACCACGAAGATTAGTGCCTTACAAATTATAACGATTTTACAGTATGTGTGCATACAAGCATATAGATAGATTGCAACAGTATTTAATGCTAGTTGTCGACAACAATTAATAACTGATTTACAACACATAACAAGCTTATATTATCCTGGTCAACTCAGCCATTTCATTTAATATGAAATAATAATTATCATATGAAATAATAATTATCATTATTAAAAGCACCATAATTTTAGGATTTCAAATTTTTCAACAACCATTAGTGTGCCCACCCCTTCCTTTCATCCTTAGCCCTGTTACCAACATATTGGAAATTTTATCTATTTTTCCAAAATTACATCATTAATAAATTCAAAAGTTAGTTGTTATAGTACCCATTTTTTTCCCAATTAACTTAACTTAAAGACTCAAAAACATTTTATTTGATAGACTAAAGACCTAAACATATTCACAATAGGTGCTGCCAGTGGTGTTTGGAAGAACTGGGACAGTTATGTAGACACGTATCAATCCATGAAAGATCAGAAAAAACAAACTGTACATGCCATATACTCCTACATGTATTAAAATCTCCTCATAAAAGCCCCACTCTGGCATGGCTTTACTGGATTGTCTGCATGATTTAAGGGAGTGTGATAGATAATTTTCTACATATACAATAATTATATTTGGAATTTTCAGTCCTTAGGCTAAGTCGATCAGGACAATATGCAGTATAAAAGCAAACAGCGAAATACAGTACAAAGCATTTTCCACTGTAGAAAAATTTTATCATGTTTATGACATAACATTCTTTAACATAACATTATAATAATCATCTCAACAAAAGTGACCGCATTTTAGCCGAAGGTTTTTTTTAAACCACTTTCTCCATACCTATAGGAATTATTTACAATATGTCCCATTTTTAACTTCAAATATCAGTCTTTAGTTAATACATGTGGGTATCCATTTATGTAACTTTAACTTAATGCTAATTTCAACACAAACTGATTTGCGTAATTGATACTAATTAGCAGACAAACAAGGTTTTTCCACAATTAAAGTAACTATCAAGATGTCATATATAAAATGTCATATATAAAACCAAATCCCCAGCTATCTATGCAAATAAGACTACCAAGCTATGATATGTGAATAACTCCTCAAGAAAAGTCTTTAAACAGAGACATCAAAGTATACCCCCAGTTTTTAAGTTTAAGACCCTAAATTTGTCTATCAAAAGGTAATAAATGTACATACTAATTATGCAGTTAGGCATATCAATTAACTTAAGTTAGGAAATTACACTAAGTTAGGCATTTAGTTAGGCATTTAGAAATTTAAGCATGGGATGCTTGCGCAAAGGAAAAGCAGCAAGAAAATTGGGTATCAGCTTGCATTCGACGCTGATGAGCCAATCTAAAGTTAGGCACCTATCAGTAAATCTAAAGTTAGGCACCTATCAGTAAGCACTGATTAGTCAATCTTAAGTTAGGCACCTATCAGTAAGCACTGAATAGCTAAAGTTAGGCACCTAGAGATCAGGATTCATACTACACACTGGTTAAATCTACTTTTGAAATTTTTGTTAATAAAGCTTTAGAACAGAAAGTTATACAATTTGCTGAAAATTTTTTTTAGTGAGTTTTGCGAAAGAAAGTTAGCTTTTAATATCATCCACCAACAAGGGGACTCATTCTCTACAATATAATGGACTTTTTGCGAGGGGGGTGGGGGGAGTTTAATCACCATGAGATCGCCTCCCTTGGCTGTTGTAGATCCCTGACTTTGCTGATTTCTTTGGCTCATTTATTGCCCAGGCTTTAAAATAAAGCAACATACAAGAATAAAAAATATTAAAATTTTGATTAAACATTGTTATATAGCGATTATATGCAGTTATCTAGGGCACTAAAAGTGCCAGGTCATTTGTTATCACATACATGTACATATTTTAATAAGGCCACAGCTTAAGGAGGATATAATTTAAAACAATTACCAAATGCATTATTCAGCCCTACAAAATTGACAGAAAAAATTTCAATGCTGAAAAAAAAGACATAACAAGCAAGCAGCAACTTAATGCATATCAACCAATAAACAAATATGGCAAAAATGTATTCAGCCAACGAAAACTTCAGATGCTAAACACGGATATTAACCAATCAAAAAACATGTCTCAAACATAATTCAGCCAATCATAGTTTCAGATACTTAAACATCAACCAATCAAATGCTATATTTATTATGTTCTGCAAATAGACTAGATAACTACAAGTAAGATACATAAACTACAGAAAAGCATAACAATAACACACAACAATGAAACAAAAGTATTTTGAAAAAATATTACTAATTATTATTGTATTGAAACCACAATGGGCTGTAAAAAATCACCCCATAAAGTTCAAGGAATAAATAAATATCTACAAATCTTACTTATCATACATTTTTTGATACATTATTTTCAATAGTATTTAATAAATATCTTTAGCCTCTCAAACAAGTAAGAAGGTTAACCCAGAATAGTGAGCTGAAATATTTTATGAAAACACAAACTGTCCATCAACATTTCGTTATTTCTCTAATTTTAAAGGGGTAAAATAAATTGACTTGTTCTGTTGAAAATCAAAGGTGAAACAGTCAACCTTTGAAGAAATAAACTCAACTTTTAAACAAACAAACAGCAAAAAACAGAAACATCTAGGTGTAATTGTTCGACTATATTGACAGGTTTGGGCAGAGAAAATATCATTCCTTTCCTATAGTCATGGTCTTTAAGATGATTAATTTAATATGGTAATATATCTCTAAAATTTTTATAATCTACTGCGATTTTTTTATCGCAATATTGCCAAAGTCTTCATGATAAAATTAATACCTTAACCTGCTGAATTTGAACATAATGGACTTGTCCAACTTTGAATTTGGGTCAGTTCATTCAAAATTTTAGGGAGTTCAATAGTTAAAGACAAAAAAATGATATATACCAACATTATAGAGCCTGGTCAGACTGTACGGATGTGCAGACTGGCCTGGCTCTATCCTGGTGGCAAAGACTAATCACTTTTGCCTTCAGCAGGGTAAAGGTTAAGGTTTCACTTCTCTGCACACATAAGTCAATATACTCGAACAAAAAAAACAAACAAAAACAAAATCAAAACAAAACTATTCTTCATTATAAAAGCATTGTTTTTCATTTTCCCCCTAATAACTTATCCATAAAGGATGTAAAGGGAAGATACAGGGCATATTAAAATGAAGAACAAAGACTCAACAATACTGCTAGTTCAGGGCTTTAGCTAGCAAAAAGTACTAAACAAATATACTGTATAAATTTGTTTAAATAATATCTAATTATGGGAAGAATTTTTATTTTTTGGTGGCAAAAAAAGAAAGAGTGGCAGAAAAAGTTTTTAAGCATTTTTTTGAAACTTGCATTTTCTGAACAGTTTCAATACAGCTAAAGCCCTGGCATTTTAAAGTCTTATCAGTAGTTAACAGTAATATAAATGTAAATGCTGAAAAATTCACTGCTGACTATTTATTTAATTTTCAAAAATTTACAAAACGAACCCATTTGAAATTTCATTTACTTTAAACTTCACTGAATTAAAAGCTATAAAGCTTTTGTGTTTAAATTTTCAAAATCTTTTCTCATTCAATGTCATTTTGTATATAAATTAATTCTTTGAAAAATAGAAAAGGTGCATTGCCAATTCAATGTCTAACAAAAACAAAATACAATCATAACATTGAGAAAATCTTAAATTCCAAAAAAATTGTGAACTGAATGTAAATACAAATTCATACTTGTGCAAAAAAGTGCATCATTTTTTCAGCATTAAAAAAACGAAGCTGTACAGCAGTTCATCCTTGCATTAAAAAACATTTTGCACAAGAACACAACAGTTAATCTTCACAAAATAATTTCCTTTTATCGTGTTATACTTTGGCATGATGTTTTTTATAGCAAAGGAATCACATGGAACTACAACCATTTTTAACAGTTTCTTGTAAAAACATTACCAGATCGGATTTAACTCAATACAGGATTGGAGCAGTACCTCTAGACGCTCGCAGAAATCATGATCACAAAATAAACAAATATCGTTTTTTCCGCCGATTCTTACATTTTTCATTCATTATCATATATAAATGAGTGTGAGAAGATGAATTTGACGTTTTAATATTCATTCCGTAAGGTAAAAAGGCGAGATTTTAGCATTTAATCATTCAAGCGTCTTGTCCAATATGTACCGGAATATGGTGTTTTGTGTGGTGCTTCAATCCTTTTTGTAGTCACACTCTACCAGATCAGGTATCACTTACAGTGAAACAAATACGGGTATATGTTACACAATGATATACCAAGGTTTTCACATACAAAATTATAACTTTGTGTTGTACTTTGAACCCTTAACCAGCCGAATTTCTTAACCTTTCCTCACTAAATATCTTAGATAGACTTGTCAATCTTTCAATCTGGACAGAACCATTTATCATTTTTAGGGAAAATTAATACAGTGCCGATCCCAATCAGACAGATGCCATCAGCAGGCTACCCGTTACAAAATAAACTTGTCCAGCTTCTATTTTTTGGAAACTTGCCAATTTATCAGTTTAGATTTATCAAGATGAGAATTTGATGTCTACAAATATATACAGCCTTACCTGGCTCTATATTGGTGGGAAATGGTTCATCACTTTTTGTTTTTAAGCATATTAAAGGTTAAATACAAGTCGTACATTAACTTTTATCTATAAACCACATTTTTGTTTTATTAGTATAAAGATGGGTATATAAATAAATTGACATCTTAGTGCTATACTGAAGTTACTAGAGATAAACCCTCTAAAAAAAGCTCTAAATACCGCTTGCAACTCCCTTGTAAAAACACTTTTTTAATTTGTACAACACAAAGTTGTCTCCCTTTTTTATGAAATCCTTCGTATATATTTCTATTGATAACAGTAAGCAAACAAGGGAGGTAACCACTGGAACACTAGAAACTACAGTGTTGTGGGTGACACAGCCAAAGCCCAAACAAATTAAGTCTGCAAAAGTAAACAGAACAAAAATCAACTTTAATATCGGTCATTGATCAAACTGGAATTAATAATTCATCAGTCATGATTTTGTGACCTAGTCCATTTCAGATTTCATTTCTTTTATTTTCCAAATATTATTATGCTATTAAGTTTTAAATTTCTTATATAAAACCAATATTGATATTTTTGCTGTACCATTTTATATTTCTATTACAATTTCAAGCCAATAAACTTTACAATAAAAATTTGGCTAAGTATTATTAAAAGAAAATTCTTTGGCCAACTAAATTGGCCAATCACATGACCGATGCAAAATTTGAATTTCAAATTTGACCAATGAAAACACAGTGTTTTGAATTTTGACCAATCACCTTCCACCTCATCCTTCACTGCAAGTTTCATACTTCTGGACTTCCTGAACTGATAACGAGGCGAGGCACCAGCCTCGGAGTCAAGATGCTCGGTCAAGCTTTGACTCATCCCACTACGCATTTTCATCAATTCACATTCCCCAATCGGGAATGATTTTCGATACTGGTCACGAACCTGGCCTGTAAAATCACCTTGCCTTTAAATCTTATACAATTCTATACACAAACATATATATAAAACACATCATTCATACATCCTATCTTTCATATAATATATATAAATGAATATATAAAATAAGAGCAAAAACCTTTCCATGCAATATCTTAGCATTCACGTCTTAAAAATAAAAATTTAACATAATTTTCCGCTTGAGCAATGTCAACTGAAACACTTAGGAAACACACTGGTTCCAAATTAATATCAAAATTGATTAGGTTTGTTCAGCACAAATCTGGTTCCCAATACGCATACATTCTTAATATACCTGTTATACCCTTAGGTTTATTTCCAAAACTTTACTTTTTTGAACCCTTTACAAGCTGAATATCATAAATGGACATGACCATCATTCAATTCGGACCGAACCATTCCTCAATTTAAGCGAAAAATTTAAAATGTGTCCTGACTGATGACTAGCAAACAATGCAGACCATGATTAGATGGTACAAATGTACTGGCAGGTCTTGGGGGATGCACTGGTCACATAGGTAGAATCAGTTGCCCCCAGCAGACTCAGTGTGCTGCTTTCCTGAAGTATTTCAGTGTTTATCATACATTATGTATGTGTGATAATTAATCTCATAACATCCTATTTCATCATTACATGTGTATCATAATCAAGCATAAAATGAAATAAAACTAACAAAAAAATTATCATTCATGCCTCGGAGCTCTTTTAATTCTTTCTGCATTCACACTTACAATACACACAAGCCCAAAGTTAAAACCATTCATCCAAACACAGACAAATATTTCAATACAGAAAAAGATCAGAAAACACAGATTTTTTTTTTATCCCCATATAACATATTAATGTTACACATTCAAGGAGAACCTGTAGTTAGATGTGGGCATAACTTATATAAATTCAAAACTTATTGCTTTGTAAATACATAATATTTTATAGTATTGTCTCTTAATTGCACTATTGAGTTAATTCCAATTTGACCTTATAGGTGTTGACCCATTACTGCACTAAGGTAACAATTATAAATTTTCAATACGAAAAAGAACAGACTTTGATAAAAAGTGAACCATCTTTTAACATGATTATTATATAATTATTACAAACATAAGCTATTTCAGGAACTTCATACATTTTTCATGTTTCCTACAGTTATCAAAGGGGCTCCACAGAGGACCAAAAGCTTAAAGGCCCATTATGCCTCATTAATGCTATGAAAACTTTTTTTATATTTTTGGTATCTTGTTAATGTTTCATAAAAATACTCATTTGCCATATATATAAAATATCTTCTGATACTTTTGCTCTGTTCGCAATTAGTATAATTGTAATAATAGTGAATTAGTATTTTCTATGGAAGTCAAAATACTACTTTGTTTACATTTTGCTACCCTTTACAATTGTGTCATTTTTCAAAATAATAATTATTATTCTGGACAAACGGATAGAGTGAATGAACTGAAATTTGGCATAAAAGTTATTGGTCCATATCCTAAATGAAGTCCCTTTAAAATAATAAAAAGTAATAAAATCACTTTCTTACATTCTTAATTTCCTGCCTAATATTTAATCATCTCATACTTAATGTATTGGGTTATCTCCCCTTTAAAATTCACATGATTAAAATGGATGTGGGTAAAAAACACTTTTAACTGAAATCTTTATCATAAAAGATCACTACAACATCAGAACCATTGACCAATTACTTTATGGTAAAAAAAAATCACTATACAAAGTTTAAGTCAAATTTTATCAATACTATTTGTTGACTGACATTTTCCTAATAAATCAGCTGTCAATTTCGGTAAACAAAATAGACAATATAAACGCCCCATTTATTTCTTATTAACCCAACTACGGTAAATACAATTAATTAATACATTAACTTTTTATAATAATAATACAAGTCATGTACATGAATAAAAATTATTTACATTACTTTCCCTTCTTCAAATAAACTCTGTTACATGATTTCTCATCATGAACTATAAATGCATATTGTAAGTTAACAAATGACAAATTTTTGCATAAAATTAATTTATTATTCAATAGCAAAAGATGTACATCAAGGACATAGTTGCATGGTTCTTACCTGCATATTGATTTCTTTTTTCCTTTAACATGCTTGGTTTCACCAATTCATGATCATTTCTATAGAATGGAGGTTCAACTGGTGTGGGTGGCGGGCTTGAGCTGGGCAGGGGCGGTGGGGACGGAGACGAGGCTCTCTCGCTGTCAGAGTGATGATGTAACACGTGAGGTTGATCATACAATGGCTCGGAATCCTCAGTGCTTTGACTAGAAAAAATAAATAATCTAACCTTTAGTTTATCCCTGATCATCCTAAATATCCTAAATGGGCGTGTCCATCTATCAATCCAAATTCCAAACAAATCCATTCATTGTTTTTAGTAGAGCTGTCATTGATTCAGTGCATAGCAAAATCAACTATATATCCATATCAGACAACAAATATTGATGAAAAACTGCTATTCGATAAATACTTACTTAAGTATTTTTTACTAGTCTGTAATTCTTTTCCATACCTGTTCACTCACTTTCAGTAAAAAGCATGTTCTTTTCATACATGTGTCATAGTTATAAATGCGCATTGCATGACTTTTGCTGACCTTTTTTTTCGTCACAGCTATGAAATATGCCTCTGCATAATTATGAATTTTCATAATAATTGTAATAAGCATCAAGTCAAAATTATCAATTTTCTAAAATGTATATCAATTACTGATCAACAGAAAAACTGAGGCTTGATCACAAAACTGTTTGAGTCCTTCTTTCTTTCAGTTACTGCAGTTTTGTGGTCAACCCTCAACATATCAATATCATTTCAATCCATGACAGCTGTAATTTTTAGGGGAAAATTTCTTTAAAAGTACTGACTAAATAGCGAACAGAGTAGATCTTGGTTAGCACTGGCCACAAGGGTAAATTCAGTCGCCCCCAACATGATAAGGGAGAATAAAACTTGTGTAATGGGTTTACTAAGCATTAAATTTGGCAAAGGCTGCTGTAAATTCAAATTATTTCATTCTAAAAATGTAGAAGCAAATCTTAAATATCAACAAACTGCAAAAGATTGTTGGCCTGGCTCTGCACTGGTGGCAAGTAATTATTGCCATTAGAAACATGACAAAATATTGTTAAAAATTTGCTCTTATAAACATAACAATGAAAGCAAGACAATAATCCTTTAATATGCAATTGCTTCCGTTACACCTTGTATATACCAATGAAACTTCAGAACATAAATATTACAAAAAATTCAAATTTAATTTTTTACCTATTACTTGATGTACTTTTGTTAGTCTGGAACTGGTTAGGTAAGGGTGCTGGTGGGCGCTGAAAGTTGGCATCGTAGGCTGGCGGTGGGCTCCGTTCCTCCTCATACATGTCTTCTTCAACCTCCTCTCTATGTTCCCAAACATCGTGTAGAAACTTCTCATATATCTGGCTAGCAGCTGCAACAGTATTTACATAATTATTACTTAACCATTATACCTGATGAATTTGTGATATATTAGCCATACTTTGAAACTGGCACAGTCCATTTTAAAATAAACTTATTGTAATATCAAAATACGAAACCCTGAGCTACCAACAGTGAAGAACCTGGTCATTCTACAAGGATGTGCGAGCACGCCTGGCTCTATACTGGTGGCAATGGCTTATCACTTCCAACTCAGGTAGGTTCTGTGTTCAATATCACAAAAATTTTTCTAATATCATAATTCAAAACACTGAGCTACCAACAGTAAAGAACCTGGTCATACAACAAGGATGTGCGAGCACGCCTGGCTCTATACTGGTGGCAATGGCTAATCACTTCCAACTCAGGTAGGTTTGGTGTTCAACACCATCCAGTTACAATGTATTCATTTTGAATCATACTTCACATTACAAACCAATTTAAATCCAAATTACTAAATCAAAACACAAAATCAAATCCTCCTTAAACATTTTCTTTAATTTAGATCTATTAATTTATACAAAAAGAAATATTAAACATCAATAATAAAGTTGAAATCAAGGTATTTCTGCATTTTTTTTTCCAGTAAAACAGAGAAAAACTTGAATTGCTAGAAATGTGTCCATAGGAAAATGCCTCAATATTTCAATGCTTTGTAAGTCCATGGACGGACAGCCTGACGTAGGGACAAGTGCAAATACATATCCTGCCACCCCCAAAGTGGGGCATAAAATCAGATGGTATATGCAGCAGAGTATACAACCCAAACAATAGTGGGTTCTTCATACACCACTTAACATAGCCACTACAAAAGCTAACACCGTTGTTTGCAGGCATTATTCCTGGGCTGGCCATCTAAAATTACTAATCAATCTTTTGGATAAGACTTTAAATCAAGGTCCCATATATGAATGCTTAAACACTTAAGGTATGCTAAAGAACCAGGTGAAGCTTCTGGAATTTGGGCATCATTTTGTTTCTGTATCTTGCACTATCCTAAATGACATATACTCTTCTGGGGAGCTGGCCCGCTGGCCAATACAGGCAGCTCGTGGCCAGTATAAATTAGCTCAAATACACACACATTGCAGGAATTAGAATTAAAATTTTTTTTGTGCAACTGTATCCCTGATGATACTCTATTGTCCATTTTCTTTTATGGTAACACACAAACATTTACAATATTCCTAGCACACTTACTTTGGGTTTTGAAGTTCTGGGAGAACTGGGAGTAAGATACTGATAATTTTTTGGCGAGTTCTTTTCCATCTTTCATTCCTTGACTATGTTCATTCATATTATATCTGCTAGCTCCGCCTTCAGGGATGGCTAGAAACAACATGTAGGCGGGGTTTACTGTCTCTGCAAATGCCCTGATAATTGAAAGAATAAACATTATACATTGTGATTAAACACTATTTGGATTATAGAATTGTCAAAAACATAAGATTTAACAGCAGTGTCTTATATTTTAAAAAGGCTGAAAAAAGAAGAATTTGATGCTTGAAAATAAGTATTCAAAAAGAACAATTTTGAAATTCTTTTTATTCAATTCATTTTTTTTTTCATGAATTTTCAACATCTGTTCCCTTTTAAAAGTATCCTATTATTTTTTTTCTTCAAACTCCCATGTTAAACTACACCTCAATAATAATACACCAGCTAAATATACAGTGTTCCTGCATTTCACAACCATTACTTTCCTTCTCTTATTAATTTCATAGCCAATTATCTCCGAATATTGTTAAAATCATATTTCTTTTAAAAAAAAATTTCATGGTTTTACACATAGAAATTCTGTATTAAAACCTAAATATTATAGTAAAATATGTATGCTAAAATGACTTAAACACACTGACCAGAGGTACAGTGCTAAAATGACTTAAACACACTGACCAGAGGTACAGCGCTAAAATGACTTAAACACACTGACCAGAGGTACAGTGCTAAAATTGACTTAAACACACTGACCAGAGGTACAGTGCTAAAATGACTTAAACACACTGACCAGAGGTACAGTGCTAAAATGACTTAAACACACTGACCAGAGGTACAGTGCTAAAATGACTTAAACACACTGACCAGAGGTACAGTGCTAAAATGACTTAAACACACTGACCAGAGGTACAGTGCTAAAATGACTTAAACACACAATGACCAGAGGTACAGTGCTAAAATGACTTAAACACACTGACAGAGGTACAGTGCTAAAATGACTTAAACAAACTGAACAGAGGTACAGTGCTAAATATGACTTAAAACAAACTGACCAGAGGTACAGTGCTAAAATGACTTAAACACACTGACCAGAGGTACAGTGCTAAAATGACTTAAACACACTGACCAGAGGTACAGTGCTAAAATGACTTAAACACACTGACCAGAGGTACAGTGCTAAAATGACTTAAACACACAATGACCAGAGGTACAGTGCTAAAATGACTTAAACACACTGACCAGAGGTACAGTGCTAAAATGACTTAAACACACTGACCAGAGGTATAGTGCTAAAATGACTTAAACAAACTGACCAGAGGTACAGTGCTAAAATGACTTAAACACAGTACATAATGTCACTGAATGAGCTGAAATACAAACTTCAACATTTCACCTAATACTTACTTTAAGGAAGCTAAAGATGCCCTCCTTTTTGGACAGTACACAAGAATAAAACCATGATAGATATATTCCCTTTGTAATAGTAAATGAGCACCGTGATAAGATGTTACAGTGATTTCAACTTTCTGTTTCGAGTACTCCAGATTCATGTCTATAGTAAACACATTATCCTCTTCCGGTGACACCGAGGACGTTTCCGGATCAGATGTCACGACGAATGAAGACTCGTTTAGAAACGGCTGTAACGGCAATGACATGGGAAACGGATCCGAGCACATCATGCACAGTAATATCCTGAAAATATATAAATGTTCAGTCAAGCACAGTTCATAATTTACAGGTCTGTTTATGATAAATTTGTTAAGTGTTTAGAATACCATGCCATTTCTAAATAATACCCCTACAGGCATGGGTCATAAATATCTTTAAGGCTGGCCTTAATCAACTGAGAAACTGTGGTTGATGGATGAAATTAAATACATACTGTCATCAAGTAAAACCTGCACACAACTGCTATTTTTCTCACTGTACATGTGCATCATTGTGATTTGGCTATAAGAAATGTACTTTTTTTTACGCTTAATAAAATTCGTATCCATAATTACCTCAGATCTGGTTCCGTGTCTTCCATAATTCTCTCTCCAACTGACTGTCCCGGTCCACGAATTATGCTGTTCAAGGCTTGCTCAATCTGTTCCGGATAAAACTTTAACTTCTCCGCTAGGTCTTCATCGGGGGTGTCAACAAACTCACATTGAAAACTGCAATATTACAAAAGGTCAAAGGTCAGAATTGGAATATATTGACCAAAAAATTCTTTCCATCATTTCTTATCAACTTATAAATCTATATGGTTAATATAAAAGAAAAATTTTCAGCTAACCCTACCTATATTTTATTTCACTAACATTTAAAGATTTAATTTTACAGATCCATCACCTTAATCAAGTATTACTGCAAAATCATTCTTAATTATGTGGCACTAATTTTCGTGAAAGGTTCATCCGTGAATTCAAGATCCACCAAAATTTCATTTTATCTGCTGTAAGATTATTTTGCATCACATTATTTACATTTTACCTTTTGGATAAAAAAAAATCAACCAATTTAAGTACCCACAAAAATCGACTTTGTTACAAAACCACAAAATTTCATGTCCACAAAATTAAGTGAGTTTAAGTTGTTTTTTGGTCATTATCTGCCCAAATACTCTCAAACAATAAATAACAAGCTAGGTCATTATACAATAACAGCAAGGTCAGGGCTATTTCTTACCTTCTAGCTTGGACTTTCCCATCCTCCCTAAGGCAGTTGACCTCTTTTATCGTATATGGCTCATATGCTAGCATTATAACTAAGGGGAGACCAATCAAGGCCTGGTTGCCGGCTTCCAGAGTCTTCAGAATACTTGAGCGAATGTATTCTAATGACTCCTTAGAGTTGTATACACAAATGCAACCTGTAGAAAAAGACAGAAATATTAGTACTTGTGAAGTTGTCATCCCTTCTCTGACCTTTCATTTGAATAACAATAGTTATTTAATTTAACCACAAACATTGACACATGCTATTTTATTAACAAATGTGTTATGGTGAAATTCTAATTGCCATCCACTAATATGATAATAGGAATTAGACAAGTTTGAGATCTATGCCCACCAATCTTGGTCTGCAATGGTTGCATGGGTAGATTGGATTGCTACCTTCAGGCAAAGGGTTAATTAATACATTAAGACAGATGCTAGTTATCGACACTTACCATGTGGTTTAAAGTTAGGTGCTATAAATGAGTTGCCTTCATCTGTCACATTTCCTTCTATAGGTCGATAGTCAAGACTATAAACTCGGTGGGCAACTTTATATTCATCATCTATACACATACTCTGTAATCATAGAAAATTCAAATAATTTATATATATATAGCTGCGTGCCTCCAGATAAGCCAAAGTATTTCAAGAAAAATCAAACTTGAGAAAAAAGTACTTAGATTTTAAGAAAAATAAAATGTCAATTTACACCTTATTTGTGATAAATGACTGATTTTGCAGTATTCATCAACATATTTCTACTGCTTGACTAACACAGTAAGTGCTATTTATTTGCATATTTAACCTCTTATTTGGTAATTTACATGTACTATTAGTGCCATTTGCAATGTGTCAATTACTTTTTATGTTCATTTCACAAAATTTCACTTTTAAATACAGGTTCAAAATTTTTCATTAACTTAACATGAATCTCGAGGCATACTGCTTTAAGTTCTATTCTTTCTATTGCTTTTATTTTCTTAATTATGATGTTTCCTACTTTACTGTTGGAGAAAGACCTCAGGTGCCCCTCCGTGCATTATTTCAGACACGAACAGGCATCTGAAAACAACTGGTGTTTTGTTAGCCAGCTGGATAAAGTCCGTACATGATAAAGTTCAAAACATCTGGTAGGATTCGAACCCAAAGCTGTGTGGAACAAGCGGTCTGAAGTCAACAACCTTTACCACTCGACCACTGACACAAAAGAATACATATGCTCAACAATCTCTATAAACTATTATTTTAATAATTTTTTTTTATTCCAAAAATCAAACATATGAAAATTATTACAAAAATTAAAGGCACTCCCCCTTATTCTGGAATATTCGTGGCAAAACCCATCCAAACCCTAGAAGCCCAATTTTAAAAAGTTTTACGTTTGGCCTGATGATATAGAGTCGGGGTAGGGTGAGACCTAAAATTGACATTTAAAAAAAAATTTATTATATTACTTTTTTTTTTATTATAAAATTCATGTTTAATCTACTTTAACTATAACTAGACCTATCACTGAAGGTGATTAATACCCCCACCAGCAACTTTTTGAAAAATTAGTAGTCTGAAGAAAAATTTCAACACAAACTATCAACTGTGTACAAAGAAATATTTCAATTAATTGTAATCCCAACTGGGGTCTCCAATAAAGCTTGCTTTTCACAAAGTTTGATTACAATATCTCATTCCTAACTCTAGTTATTGTCCGGAAACCATTTTTCTATTTTTAGGAATGGTGACCTTGACCTTGACCCAAGGGGGTCCAAATGCAATACCAACCCAGGTCTTCATATAAGCTTGCTATACACCAAGTTTGATAACAATATCTCATTCCTAACTCTAGTTATTGTCCGGAAACCATTTTTCTATTTTTAGTAACGGTGACCTTGACCTTGACCCCAGGGGGTCCAAAAACAATACCAACCCAGGTCTTCATATAAGCTTGCTATACACCAATTTTGATTACAATATCTCATTCCTAACTCAAGTTATTGTCCGGAAACCATTTTTCTATTTTTAGTAACGGTGACCTTGACCTTGACCCCAGGGGGTCCAAAAACAATACCAACCCAGGTCTTCAAGATAAGCTTGCTATACACCAATTTTGATTACAATATCTCATTCCTAACTCAAGTTATTGTCCGGAAACCATTTTTCTATTTTTAGTAATGGTGACCTTGACCTTGACCCAAGGGGGTCCAAATGCAATACCAACCCAGGTCTTCTTATAAGCTTGCTATACACCAAGTTTGATAACAATATCTCATTCCTAACTCTCAGTTATTGTCCGGAAACCATATTTCTATTTTTTAGTAACGGTGACCTTGACCTTGACCCAGGGGGTCCAAATGCAATACCAACCCAGGTCTTCATATAAGCTTGCTATACACCAAGTTTGATAACAATATCTCATTCCTAACTGTAGTTATTATCCGGAAACCATTTTTCTATTTTTAGTAACGGTGACCTTGACCTTGACCCCAGGGGGTCCAAATGCAATACCAACCGGAGTTTTCACATAAGGTTGCTATATACCAAGTTTGATTACAATACCTCATTCCAAACTCTAGTTATCGTCCGGAAACCATGATGTGGACCGACCGACGGACGGACCGACCGACCGACCGACCAACCGACCGACCGACAAGCTGACTCCTATATACCCCCCCTAAACTTCGTTAACTTCGTTTGTGGGGGTATAATTAACCTACTGACTTTCTATAATTCTATAAAGGTTAACACTGCTTTGAATTCAGATCAATCTGAACAAATTTTAACGTAATATGAAGATATAGAAATAGAGCTACCAACAGTATGAAGCCTGGTCAGACTGCCACAGTGTGCATGGCTGGCCTGGCTCTACACTGGTGGCAATTGCTAATCTCTTCAATTTTACTAGGTTAAAGGTTTGTTTCTATAAATAACCTCAAGAATGGTTGTAAATAATGTTTCTTTATTCTTTTTCTATTTGTTTCATACTTACATGTATTTATTTAATGTTTAATAATTTTTAAGAGATTTGTCCCCAATTGTCTGCACAAGTATTCTTGTTAAAGACATTCACACAGATTAAAACGTTAACACAGACTATGGGAAATGCCTGACATTCACTTTATGTTAAATAAGTTACAAAAGAAACTACTAAAACAAGAAACATGGCAATGCCATGAAACCAGGTTTTCAATTATCACCATTGTAGATAAATATGTTGTATTTGAAATACAAATACAAGCAACAAACAATGTAACTATGTGCAATGTAAAACATGAATAATGTAGGAGGAATTGCCACTGAAGAAGTGTTCACTATAATATTATGTATAAGGAAAAAAACAAAGGGCCATAATTAGGTCAAAAACTATTCAATCACAAAACCCCGACAATATGTGCCAGGGTGCTTGATGACAAAGCTTCTGTGAAAGTTTGAACAAAATCCGTTGAGAAATGTAGGACGAGTTCAGCACAGAAGAATTTGTTCACTATAATTATATTGATAATTCTGTATAATGAAAAACAAGTTACAAAGTAGACATGAAATAATATATCATATCTTTTTTAAATTACCTCCAAAGATGATATGACCTTTGACTGCCAAATCAAGTTAAAATCATGTAAACAGGATTTTCAATGTTAATGTCACTGTGACCTTGACCTTGGAGCCAGCCATGCGGAACATGCGTTCTGCACGTCATCTTGATGTGGTAAACATTTGTCTGAAGTTTCATCAAAATTCTTCAAAGGGTTGAAGAGTTACAGAGTTAAGAGCGGACGGGATTTTCAATGTTAATGTCACTGTGACCTTGACCTTGGAGCCAGCCATGCGGAACATGCGTTCTGCACGTCATCTTGATGTGGTAAACATTTGTCTGAAGTTTCATCAAAATTCTTCAAAGGGTTGAAGAGTTACAGAGCGGACAGGATTTTCAATGTTAATGTCACTGTGACCTTGACCTTGGAGCCAGCCATGCGGAACATGCGTTCTGCACGTCATCTTGATGTGGTAAACATTTGTCTGAAGTTTCATCAAAATTCTTCAAAGGGTTGAAGAGTTACAGAGCGGACAGGATTTTCAATGTTAATGTCACTGTGACCTTGACCTTGGAGCCAGCCATGCGGAACATGCGTTCTGCACGTCATCTTGATGTGGTAAACATTTGTCTGAAGTTTCATCAAAATTCTTCAAAGGGTTGAAGAGTTACAGAGCGGACACACAATTTCGTTTGACGCCCGAAGTTAAAATCATGTAAACAGGATTTTCAATGTTAATGTCACTGTGACCTTGACCTTGGAGCCAGCCATGCGGAACATGCGTTCTGCACGTCATCTTGATGTGGTAAACATTTGTCTGAAGTTTCATCAAAATTCTTCAAAGGGTTGAAGAGTTACAGAGCGGACAGGATTTTCAATGTTAATGTCACTGTGACCTTGACCTTGGAGCCAGCCATGCGGAACATGCGTTCTGCACGTCATCTTGATGTGGTAAACATTTGTCTGAAGTTTCATCAAAATTCTTCAAAGGGTTGAAGAGTTACAGAGCGGACACAATTTCGTTTGACGCCCGAAGTTAAAATCATGTAAACAGGATTTTCAATGTTAATGTCACTGTGACCTTGACCTTGGAGCCAGCCATGCGGAACATGCGTTCTGCACGTCATCTTGATGTGGTAAACATTTGTCTGAAGTTTCATCAAAATTCTTCAAAGGGTTGAAGAGTTACAGAGCGGACAGGATTTTCAATGTTAATGTCACTGTGACCTTGACCTTGGAGCCAGCCATGCGGAACATGCGTTCTGCACGTCATCTTGATGTGGTAAACATTTGTCTGAAGTTTCATCAAAATTCTTCAAAGGGTTGAAGAGTTACAGAGCGGACACAATTTCGTTTGACGCCCGCCCATCCGCCCAGCCGCCCATCCGCCCATCCGCCCGCCATACCCCAATCTAATAACCAGGATTTTCAAAATTGAAAACCTGGTTAATAACTAAGAAAGGACTAAATTTACAAAAGAAAAAACTAAACAATTGCCTTAATACAGTGTACCACATTTTTTTTTCTCAAACAAATCAAGTGTATTCTCTCTACATGAATGTGGACAGTATTTCTGTATCTGGCATGCCAGAAACCTGACATCACTAACAATCCTATTTCATCAATATTATTGTCAATGACTAATTTTCACTCCTTCATCCTTCTTTATCACTTCCATTGTAAGATGTGACAGAAAACAAAGAGCCATTCCCATACAATGACAAATTTTACTTACATATGTATATATATATAAATGCACAAACTAAGCGGATTTCAAAACTATACGAAAACCAATTATTTAGTCAAACATCCTTTTACGTAGCATATCTTTTATACACGGGAATCATTACAATGCCAAAAATTTCTACATTTTACCATCGTAGTTAAAAAAATGCCACTTTATGCATTCTAAAATAAAAGTTGAACAATATTAGACTAAAATGATTTTATATTTAAATCTTCTGTTGGTTCTTGGGAAAGATATGTTATTTTTTTTTCTAAACAACTATAACTAGGTAATATGGCAAATTCCCACTCCACAGGTAAAAAAAACTGGATCATTGCCTTTTTAAGTGAAATTTCTGGCAGTTGTTGTGTCAGGCAAGTGTCGACACAAAGGTTAACAACTATCAACTAACAACTATCTGTTAAAGTTAGCAGGAATGAAACGGAATACAGATTTCTGTAATACTATTCAGACAAGTAAATCTTTGAAGATACAGAAAAAAATCCCTACCTCCCATTAGGCACAAGACGTCGCTCGTTTCTCAAAATATTTGACACCTGACACTCTGCACACGTGCAGTCCTCCGACATAGACGTGTGAAAAAAGCACCGATCCACGGAGGGTTTCTCTAGGAACACAACATGATTCAACAGCATTACTTTCCTATCATCTTCCAGCTTATGAAACTTTCTAAATCTACAGAAAAATAAATAATAAAACCACATTAAAAGTATTATTTCCATATTCAATCTATAAATATCTTGGGCAAATAGACTTACTACGGAATAATATATTGGGCTTTTCCTAGCTAATATGGGGTTACACACATACTTTTACAGTTACAGCTTCGAAAATAAGCGCAAAAGGTTGACAAATCTATTGTGAACACTAGCACATCGTAAAGTTTGTTTGTACTAGGGGATAAGCTTGGAAAAACCCTCATTTGCCGAGTTCCTGATAACAACTATTTAGCAAACTTAGACCATCAGTATTCCTTACAAGTTTGGTAAGCAGTTTGATGGCAAGATTTTTATGTACAGTAGTTCCTGGTTATATAAAAAATTGTTTTCTCTCAAAAAAATTATTGAAACTTAGTATATCAGCCCCGCACATGCATTCTAATTAAAAGCCCTGCAGACATTGGAAAAAGGACATAATTATGGCACCATTCCAGCTCCACTGAAGTAGGTGACCCTCCAAGCTATATTAAAGGTAAAAAGGAACACCCACGTAGAACTATCAACATTTAGTGAGATCACTGGTTAGCTTCCTCACATTCAAGAATTTGCGGGATTCGAACCCACAGTGGCTTCAGATGGGATTCGAACCCACAGTGGCGTCAGCAGGCAAATGATTTGATATCAGCAAAAAGAAGTTAGTGTTAAAATACTGCATTCAGAAGTGTCAACATACAACAATGGAAGGTGTAAACATGCTGCACAGAAAGTTGTTTAAAATTCCTTTCAAAATTCATTTAATTGTACAACTTATAGGAATTTTCACGCTTACCTTTGGTCATCATTCAAAGAATTATAAATAACATTGAGATCATCTTCAGTTAGATTTTGGTTCAAATTGAGATTTCGGAAAACACTGGGTCGTTCCCATAAAAGTTCTTGAAACTCTATACGCAGTCTATTTTTCAGCTGTCGTTGAAATTCCTCGTACACCTGTTGCCGTTCATGTTCATGTAAACCGGTGTAACTCTCTTTCCCAAGAAATAATGTATAATGGTCACTTAATAATCCACCAGGCTTATCGATATTCTTTTCTAATAATGCCCAAAATTCATTCTTTAATCTGAAAATCACAAAAATCATTTATCAACTTTAGGTATAGATTTTTTTTTAATGCATCGGGAACAATCTTAAAAGATGTATTATTTCACATTTAGCATGAAATGGAATTACTCTATTAAAGTGAGGAAAAATAAAAATAAAAGGAAAACAGAAAAAAGTAAATATCAATATTTCTTAAGCCATAATTTACGCATCTTTTAACCTGACAACCTAATAAAGTCACAAAAAGTTGTTTTTTTTATCTGTTTTGATTGAGTTTCACGTCACACCGACACAGTATAGGTTATATGGTGACGTTACAGCTTAACTGGTGAAGGAAGACCTCAGATGCCCTTATGGCATGAAAGGGGGCACCTGAGTAGAACCACCGACGTTCCATAAGCTACATGTAACTGGTCACAAAAAAAAGTAAAATCTTACTCTTCTTTCCTGCGAGCTGCCTGCAGAGCATTTACATGATTCAGAAAACAGGTTTCTGCCTCCGCGGAAGAAAGTAGGTCTAAGGGAAGACGATTTTCCTGTACATCATCGACAAAATCTGTTGTCGTCCATTTCTCACCATCTTCGCACACCTTAACAAAGAATGAGTCAAAGTCATCGTCCCGCATCATCTGACTCTGACATGCTGTCCAGCTTTTCCTGAAAATATTCACATTCAAAAATAAATCGAAGTAAAATTCAAATTTCCTACTTATCAGGCAGGATTACACTAATAATATCTGTCATATTTTGCGGTTCAGATCGGAATATCCATCCCGAGGTGACCCCCCAGGGGGCGGTAACAAGGCTTGCCGAGTTACCGCCCATAGGTGGGTGACCGAGGGATGGATATTCCGATCCGAATCACAAACGTTTGTCAGATATTTTTTCTTGCATATTCTACCACATTCCATTATATATTAAATTCTTTATCTTTATTTTCAATGAAAATTTATATCATTACAACCTTAACTACTTTCTTACAACAGCGTATGAATTACAACTTCATTCATAACGGTAAAAGGACGTCATCCTAACCGCGCCATTGTACAGCACACGACTCATCTGGAACCCCCCATGCCAGATGAAATTTCTGGCATGAGTAAATTCACAGAAACACCAGTCTGATATGCAAGAATGCTTATTCTTAAATAATAATGTTATACTCAATTCTGATCTTAAAGGCCCATTATGCCCCAGAAATGCATTAATTTTTATTTTTCAAAAGCTTTCTGTTATAGTTTCTAGAAGGTTACTTACTGACCAATTACCAGAACCATCTTTTGCCTATGTTGCATTTTTGCAGACAGTACAGTTACATCTTACAGTGATTTAGTTACGTATTTTGTATATTTGTTTGCATTTTGCTACTTCCATGACAACCATCTAACATGTTCCTAAACCATTATCTAAGCGTTATAAAACTAATATTTACCCTTTTTAAAGATGGAAATAATTATTCACTTTTTTTGTTAAAAATAATCATATCGATAAACTAGACCATGATATATATATATCTAAATGTATGTTTCATTTTTTGTTTTAAATAAAACTGATGTACAGGAATGTTAAGGAATTTATGAAGTACAGTGTGTTAGAATTTTCTTAAATGACCTTACACCCTTCAAATGTTTGCAAGCATTAATTACAGGCTTAGGCCATCAGGGCTAGCTGTGGCCCATTTTTCCTTCGAGCCAATTTACCTTATTCCACACCATGGATGACTTTTTCTCGTTAATATAGAGGATCGTTATTTTTAGCCTATGCCCTATTTCTTGAGCCAATTAAAATTTTATATGAGCCAAAAGAGAATTGAACATTCTTGACAGACTATAATCATACTACTTGCTATTTAATTTTACGATTCTGATACTGAAAAAAAACCTTAAATTGATAATGGATAAATTCATCATAAATTTTTCCCTTAAAAAAAATCAGAACGGTTTGAACAAAACATACATTAAAACCTGTTACCAGCATCGAAATTTCAATTAACATTTAAAATATAACAAGAAATAGTACAGGGCTTGTTTTAAAGAAATTTTAATCCTGACTTTGCATTGTACTGTATTGATGCCATTGCATACATACCAAAATATCTGCTATCACTCATTTGATAGTTCTGCATTTACCTCCCTTTATTTTAGTCAAATAGTTCAACAGTAACTATAACACCATATTTATTGTGAGAAGTATAGATCTGCCTAAGTAAAAATCTTTAAGCTATTCAGGAAATGTTTGTCATACAAATATATTACATCAACAACTTCCTATACAAAGTAAAAACAATGACAATAGGCTAGAGTAAAAAAGAGGTTGGGTTTAAATCTGGTTAAAGCAGTATTTTTTTTTTCTTCTTCTTTTGGTAATTTTTCCTTTTGTTTCTATACATATACAGAAATTCTTTTTTTGTTTTGGACAAATCCTGACTCAACACCTTTTTTAGGCAATTTCCCAACTTTACGTATAGAGTGACCACATCTAGTAGCTATTAAGGTTACTGACTGTGAACCACTTGACCCTCTGACACTGCTGTGAGTTTGAATCCCCCAGGCCACACTTTAGATTATTTCATTTGATGAAGCAAAACACCCCAAACACACACAAATGAAGATGAACCATCCAAATTTAAATTACTTGTGAAATACCTTAGATTCCACAGTGCCCCTACTAGTATAATACGAGACCTGTATAGTTTTGGTGAAATTGGTTACATGAAACAATTAAATATTCCTTGTGGGATTTGAAACAACACTGGTGAGAAGGTTAAGTTGTTCAAGAAATAAATAATTGTTAATGGTGAGAATCTAATTGAAAATTGAATGAGGATGTCCTTAAAAAGTTAAAAACTAACAACAAAATAAGCGCGCCAAATTAAGTTATAAATCATGATAAACTTAAAACAAAGTCTGCAATCCAAAAATCTACATAAATTTTCAGCTGCATCTAGCACAGTCAAATTGATTTTTTTTATTGCTTGTTATAAATCAGCGTTTTTTTTCTCTACTTTGGGAATGGTGCTGGTACCAGACTGATTGGGAAAAAAATGCGTTATTTTGACTAAAATTGGGAATTTTTTAATGCATTTTTTCAGCTACAAATGAGATTAGACATCATGAATAAAGATAGCTAACAGCTTCTACTGTCAAAATAGAACTATTGAGTGGTGATTTATATGAATATGTTGGATTTAAATGATTTTAGAAAAATCACTTGGCCTTGTGGGCATTTTGAACAGCCATTTTGGGAATTTAACATTGGAAATTGGGAATTTTAATGTCTATTTTCTATTGGGAATGGTACCGTTTTAGGGTAGTAGTTATATAAAGAAAAAAAACACTGTAAATCAAAATTAAACTGCAAAATCATTATTATTCATGGGGCACTTATTTTCGTGGATAGGTCAATCTACACATGTAAGATCTGACAAATTTTGATTTTGTCTGTTGTAAGATTATTTTGCATCACATTATTTACATTTTACCATTGGAAAAATAACCAGTCCACGAATTCAAGAATCAACGAAAATGTTTTTTTTTATGACAAAACCACAAAATGTCATGCCGGAGAAATTAAATGAATTCACTGTACTATTATTATATTGAAATTAATAGACAATGTTATAGATACTGCTATTATGTTGAAATTTATGTCATAAATACTGATATCACATGTATATTGACATATTGACATAACCTGATTCAAATGCTACTTTATTGTTTGATATATATTTTGGGCCGGAGGCCTTTGATTATGAAATAGAAGAGTTGAGTTGAGTTGTACACTAAAAAAGAAAACATACCTATCTCCGATGGTTTCTAAATCGGGCAGAAAGTGGGCTAGAACATCAGGAAGGCGTTTCAGGAACAAGTTCTGTTTTTGCTTTATCAGTTCCTCTCGTAAATGCCGAGTATGCTGTCTGACTAGGCCCCGCGCTTTGTCCGTCCCGAATAAATCCACATAATGAAGGTAATCCGATTCCTTTTCTAACTTTTTTCTTGCACTAGCCCAATTAATTTTGGAATCAGTTATTTTCACACGTAAAAGATTTCTAAAAGCCTCCTTGGCCACTTCCATTACTTCTTTGCGCGCTTTTGAAGCCTCGCTAAATGGAATAACTTTAGTCCGTGCCTTTGACTTATCCATCATCATGTGACCTAATAACAAAAATGCCGCCTCTACGTTCACATTATCATGAGCAGACGTCTCAACCAAAGGAATGCTACTTTTGTATTCTTTTCTAGTTAATAATTTTTCAACTTCCTTAGCATATTCCACGTCGATCGAGTCTGTTTTTGTTGTTACAACGACAATAGGCTTTTTTGTTTTCATGGCATTATTTAAAAGGACGACGCAGAATTCGACCTGTTTCTCAAGACTCCTTTCCGCTACTTTGCTAACATCAAAACAGCAGACGATACCATCAATGTTCATTTTCCCATCAGGCATTAGCTTCTGTTCATATGCACTGTCTGTTTCCATGCCTACATAAAACAACAAAAATATTTAACCTGTATCATATTAAAACAAAGGTATTGAATGGAAATTAGTGACAATCCATGGCACTGTAAAATGCACTTTCATTTAAAAATCAGTATTTTTTTAAAGGAACTCCACTGAGGTTCACAAGCCTAAAAATATAAAATTAGAATTTCTAAAATAGCTTAGCTGGGGCAATAACCACTAAAAACAGAAAAATATGCGAATAATAGTAAAGAAATATACTTAAAAATAGATTGGAAAATGTATCTTTGTGCTATTTTTAGCCTGATTTTCTTTTCAATTTTGGGTCATTTTTCACAATCAGAATAAATCATTCTGGAAAAACAGAGTAAATGAATGATCTGAAATTTTGCACACAAGTTATTGGTCTAGACCTACATCTGATGGAATATTAATCTTGAAAAATTATTTTCAGTTCCGTCATACCAAAAAACCTTAGTGGTGTCCCTTTAAAAATTAAGTATTTTGTTGACAGGTGAATAGTGAATAAATTGGGTCTTGATTGCCAGCCAGGAGGCGATTCCATCCTTTCCACCACTCAGACCTGACGATTCACAAATAAACCAAAAACCACGTATCTATATCAATAGAAATAACATTCTTCAAAAAAAATGTTTTAATCAAAACATAAAAGAGCATGTCCAATATGACTTTTACATAGTTCCTTGAACAACAGTTTAAAGTGTAATTTTACCTTCCAACTTTCGCACTGGAAATTAATGTTATTACACAAATTATTAAAAAGTTATCTAACCTTAAAAATGCCTGTGTATTTCACAATAAATAATAAATTTGGTTTATAATCATTTATGATCCACGCAGTGGTATTTACATATAACCACTATGCCTTAATTCTGCATAATTATGTTCAATTGAGGTCAGGGTATTACATGTGAAATGTAATCAAGACCAAGTTAACAGGAAACTAAATTTCTTTTTTGAAAGGGTTTGTTTATTTATTGAAGTATAATAATAGATTTTTAATAATTAAGGTAGCGATCATAGTACTAATACTAACAAATACCAGATTGTATCATACTGTCAAGGTCTGAATCCCAAAATAACCGAAGTAAACATAACAGCCCTAATAATTATCACATCAACACAGTGTTACAGTAAAGGTCCTGTCGTTCCATCAATACTGATAGAGGACCCTCTAAAATGCTTCACCATTTGTCTGCTATCAGCAACTGACTCTACACATGCAATCAGTGCAGATTATATATCAGCCCGCACATCCATGCCCACTGACCCTGTTTTAAATTGGTTGCTATTCAGACAATATTTATTTTAAAAATTTCCCTGAAAGATGATGAATGGCTTTGTCGAGAATTAAAGTTGGACAAGTCCCTTTAAGTTAATCAGTGCTGAAAGGGTTAATTCTGAAAAAGTCTTGCATCCAAGTAAAATCATCAACGTTTCGCCAACAGATTGTCATCACATAATGTATTTCACTCACAATTTCTTTTGCATATTTCCTTAACCCATTGACTGATGTTGTTATACTACCTTTTGCAAACTATCTGGACAGATTCTTATCACATGATGTATTTCACTCACAATCTCTTCCGAATTTTTCCCTTTACCCATTAAGTGATGTTGTTATATAAGTATACTGATATACATGTATATATTTCATTAAATTTAACATTTTTGCATAATAATTATGCCTCTTCTTAAAGTAAATCAAGGATGAACAAAATAAAAATATCAAATCAAATAGCAGATACTTGATAGTTATCATAGAATAGAATCTGAGAATGTATAACTATGTATCAAAAATATGTTACCAAGCTGGTCTTTGCATATGTACATCAGTTTCTCCGCTGATTGCACTTTCGTCTGTACACAGCGCTTAGTATAGGGATCTGTACGCCCAGTTTTAAACGGTGTAAACGACACATCGTCTATAAATTCCGTCTGCTCAATCACATGGAATGTGAAATTATTCCCCTCGTCTGTTTTCGTAACTTCGCCCCAGTACAGGAAATGATCATTGTTAATCACTCTCCCGCCAAAGTCCGACTGACTCAACACGGAGATATGTTCCATATAGTACTTATCTGCCTCTGGATGGATGAATCTATTGCACAAACATGATTTCCCGACCCCGTATGCACCTTTCTCTTTCTCCGTTCCCGATAACCCAATAACGCTGACATTAAAAGTTCTTCCGTCCGGTTTTTTGGCCATCTTTGACTAGTTTTGAGTTATAATCTAGTTGTGAGTTATATATTTTGAAGAGTTAAACGTAACATGCCGCCGATGTTGTTCTAGTCACTTGAAGAAGCGTTTACATTTCACTAAATCAACCCATCTCTGAAAACAAACAAATGAAAATTAACTTTTAGACATAAAAACTTGAAAAAGCAGTAACAATTCATTAAATCAACAAAACCTGGAAAAAAACAAACCCACAAAAACAAGATTGGTTGTTCTATAAAGGGACAGATTGAAAAGAAATACTGATTTCATTTGACTACAGAGCTTTTAAAAAATATTTTTACAGTTATTTTTGTATCTGTAGACCAGCAATGATAATTAGGAGAATACTGACCAGTGTCAGAGTACAACATTCAGATATATTTATAAGACAAGACATTGTTTTAAAATACGGCCATTTAAGGAAAACCAGCAGCCTATTTTTTCATGGTTAAATATATCTTTACTAAGTTTAAACTGTTGTAATATCTGAAACAATCCATATTTCTTCCTTAAAGTAATTCTACCTGTGCATTTTCATTACGAGTTGTATTAAATGTAAAAAAATATGAAGATTTTACATCACATTTAAATTTATACAACTATTATTAAGTTTAAAACATGAATTAGAGTATTACACAGTGTCACAATGATAGCAAATATAATTATAAATAAATTGTATCATGGTTTACCAACTACCTTTATGATGTATGTATGCGAGCGGGCTCGGCATGTTTATATAACACTTTACTACAAAGATACCAAAAAAAAAACCACACCGCTGCTATAACATAACATGGTTGAACCTTCAGTCAATGGAGTTTTTTTTGTTTTTTTTTTTCAAATAAAGTTTTATATCACCAGCATATGTTATATATATATACTATCTTTAAGAAAGATTAAGACCTTATTGCTACAAAATTGTGATAGAATGTCCATTTCTTCTACAGAGAGCATAAAATATTTGGTTAGAATAAAAATAATCCAAATAAAATTATGCTATTTTGAAAGCCTTAAGTGCTCGCACCACCCTTTCCACACTAAATATCTAAAATAGATTTGTCCATCTTTGAATCTGCATAAAACCATTCACCATTTTTAGGGGAAATTTTAAAATATTCACTGACTGAATTGTAAACAGTGGAGACTATGACCAGACGTCACAGATGAACCGAGCTAGTCTTGCTTTACATGCATAGTGGGTGCTTGGGTATAATCAGTCTCCAGTAACAGGGCTTTCATTAAGTTTCAAAATTCATGACTAACTTAACATGATGTTCTTGATTACATTTATGCTGTCATGTGTACATAATGTATTTATTAAAATGGAATTTGAAAACCACATAATAGTATGTCTATATGTAATAAAATGAAATATCATAAATATGTGTTTGTAATCATAATGATATATAACTGCTAGCATATCGTAGCAAAGATAGTCATGTCTCCCTTGCAGAATTATTGGCTCCAACTTTGGAGCCATTGGCTCCAACTTTTCTGATTGGCGAATTTGGTGGCGCAAACTAATTTTGACCCAGAGGGAACCCTGAATTTGGAAGTCAGAAACTGCAAAATCTCTGATACTGGAAGTCACATCATATTGGTAAAGAAGGAAAAGTAATAGATTTGGGAAGTCACAAGCCAAAATCAAGGAGTATAAATGACTCCCAAACTTCCATTAACGGAAACCCTGCCTGTAGCAGGCCGAGAGTTACATATTAAAGAAACAGAAAATAAAGTTTCCTTTTAAAAGGAAAGGCTTGCACAGTTGTGCCTTCATCCCAACCCTTTAAAATTGTTCTTTTTTGGGGGGTTTCAATTTATTATCACATTTTTTTTTGAATTTATATCATAAAGGGTTTATTTAGTTTTTTTTTTTTTTTGGAAAACCGAATATTTTTTTTGTCAAAACGATTTAGATCTATTCTCTATTGTATAAAACTAATAAAGAAAATGATCAATCGTAAAAATATTAATGTGATACTGAAGTAAAACAAGTGTGCACATCTCATTTCCCCTTTTTCGCAGCGAAATCATTCCTTTGCTTTATAGACCAGTAAATGCACTAAAATACTTCGTAAAGTGGTACCAATTAATAAGCATGTATCAACTATGATACATAGCACGTGGCAAGGTTAATGATATGCATGGGCTATTTTTAGATTACCTCACCAAGAAGTTGAATTGCGTTCAGTAGATCTAAATATAACTCAATCATGCGTGATTTGGTAAGCAGGACCACCCTTTGAAGACGGAGTAATACTACAGTCACCATTCTCTATTGTATAAAACTAATACAGACAAAAAAACAATTATAAAAGAAACTAACTTTTGCGTCTTGAAAAACAAATGAAACGGAACAATTTCGTTTATAATTTATTACGGATCAAGTAAAAATAGAAATCTTATTTATATACACAAACTGGGATTTCCGAAGTAACTAAAATAGCTTAGATTTCCCAGTATGACGGAATCGCCCGAATTGTCACGATTGCAATCGGAACTACATCGGCTATTATCATTAATCCAAAGACTGACGGAAAAAGCCTAAAAGTTGCGATTGGCACGATTGCAGCTGGTTTCCCGTTCAATCATGCACCAACAGATGTAAGCAGGAAACCACCTAACCGGAACAAATTTTCCAGATGAAATGGCTTGCAGCCGTGGCTGCAAGCCAAAAAGCCCCACTATATATGGTTGAATCATTACCAGTGTGCTAGCATCATTATTCAAGAGCTAACACCACTAAATTACGCACATTTAGTCACCAATGTCACAAGTTAACCATGTGCCAACTTACACATCCATACAATCTGATTGGACTCAATAATGATCACTGCTCAATTAACTATTAAATGAAACCGCTCCGTGGTCGGGGGTTAGAGTCGATGACTTCTAATCCAGTTACCTCTCTGGTGTGGGTTCAATTCCCAGAAGATGCTTTGGTTGTTTAGCGCGGATGAAGGTAGTCTACTACTGGTCCAGTACTGGTGTAACTCTCCAGGAACTATGGTTAGGAAACTACCCGCCTATATTACTGAAATACTGTTGGGAAAAGGCGTTAAATGAAACAAACAAACAAAACTATAAAATTAACTGCTCCACAAGTCTGTTATACACATTCAGCAAGGAAAGGGTTAAAACAACAACATCAACATTACATATGAAGGGGTATCTTAGTGTACATGTACAAATCTGCACTAAACAGACTATCATAAACCTATCCTCACAAGTTTTATTATAAAACATTAATGTGTCAAGCGTAACAAATTGCATGTACAATAAACACATAAACTACTATCTAAACCCATTCAATGCAGAAAAAAGAAAAATCCAGTTTAAAAAAACGTTGTCACAATATTTTGGAAAAATTGTCCGTTAGATTTCATATTATATTGAAACAAACATACCAATATGAATGGATTACACAGTATACAATGTCAAGTTCTTTTGCGGCGTCCTTCAAACAGTATGATGTCAGTTCTATTTTTAGACATGTATGATTTAAAGCCGATCCCCACTTAAACATATAAAGACATAAAGATTTCTGCTTTAAGATTAACATTTACTACTGTTTATTAAATCCAATAAGATTCGGTTTTAAAAAACAAACTTTCATTATGTATTTTAACCTTTTATAACATCAGTTCATTTAGTTCCATTTATAGACAGTATCCCCCAATGTTAAATGCTCTTTTTACTATAAATAGATTCTTACTTCCTTGACATAGCCCACCTATCATCTCACTTTTATTTTTAACCTCATCTTATGTACATATAAGGTATCCAATTCATCAAAAAGCATTCATAACATGTACAAATTCAGCCAATGCACTCAAAAAGCCTTATTAATTTCTTCTTTTTTCCGGAAAACAGCAAGGTTAATAGGATTATTGTTCATCCTACACCACACTGCCTACCAATTTGAATTTTCATATATTATTTGACATTTAAATGTAAAATATCAAAAATTTTCAAAATTTTTTTTTTGTTAATTATTGTTTTGTTTTGTTTTCTGTTTTAAATCACACAGACAATGGTCAAACGGTCACATTGAAGCTTTATTGCACGGCCCCTCCGTGTATTATTTCAGGTACAAATGGTCGGTCACCTGTGTAGGATTTGAACACACTGTAGCCAGAGCAAGTGATACAAAGTCAGTGAAATTAAACACTCTACAATAGTGATTTCTTTTACAGTGTTAATGGCTAAATATTTTCAGTTCTGTACCCATTAAAGTGTTCCAGAAGTGACCGGTATCAAGTTCCTTTGACACAGTGGCAGAAGTACGATACTTCCATCTATCAAATTACTATTGAAAACAAAAATTTTGCTTAGACCATAACTTATTAACCACTGAGGTCCAAAAGCATAAAAAAGTAAACACTTTAAAATTCTTTCATAGATCAACTGGGGGACTTAAAGCAGGCAGATATGGAAATGATAATACTGAAATCTACTCTGAATTTAAATAGAAAATTGACTTTCATCAAATGGAACAAAAATCTTGAAAAAAAAAGGTTTCCAGTCCCTTCATGTCCAAAAAATACCTCGGTGAAGTCCTTTTTATGTATGAATCATCCCAGATTGGTAACCGATTACACATCTTTGTACAAATACAACCAAATTTAAAAACAAAAAAATCATTTTCTTTTTCTTTAAATATTAAATTTTAAAATATAAAATAAACATACTATGCCTTTCCATTCCTTAATCCACAGATTCAATATTTACTCCGAAAATATCAATAATTACAAAATAAATTAACTTTATCAATGGTTATTTTCAATTTCACTTTCAGCTATTCTAGCATAAAAATCTTGCTCACTGATAACATTTACTTTGATATAAACGACTTGAAATAACAATTGATATATTAAGTTAACAAAATAAACATTTTCGTTTTTTTTTGGTATCAAAATGGTACCCATTTATTGATATATGTTAAAAAATTTTTTTTTGCAAAGCACTCCTTTTGGAGAAGTCATTGAACATTTTAAAATCTGTTCACGGGTTATATATTGTGGTAAACTATAAGTTAACTTTGATTCATTTTCAGTTTAAGGTTCGTGTACCTGATGTTTAATTGAATGAAGTGCAAAGCTGATGTATACTTT